AAACACAACAAACACACACACACCATACACATACACTACACAGAAACAGAGTAAATTTTGTTTGTTTGGTCTTTGCTTTTTTGTTTTGGAGACAAGGTTTCTTTGAGTAGCCCTGGTTATCCTGGAACTCATTCTGTACAAACTCATTCTGGCCTCAAACTCACAGAGATCCACCTCCCTCTGCTTCCCAAGTACTGGGATTAAAGGCATGCCACCTAATTAAAAACTTTTTTAATTAAAAAGCAAGCCAGGTGGTAGTGGTGCATACCTTTAATCCCAGCACTTGGGAGGCAGAGGCAGGTTCATCTTTGTGAGTTCAAGGTTAGAAAAAATAAATAAATAAAAGGAAACCAAGAGCCCACTCCTGTGGCAGGTGTCTGGCTGGCTCCCAGTCAGTGACCACTGTGGGCTTCTCTGTGCTCAGGTTTTCTGCACCAAGCTGACAGAAGCAGGGATCCCTCCAGAAGTCACCACTGGCATTTTCTCCAACATCTCTTCCATCTACCGTTTCCATGGGCAGTTCCTCCTGCCCGAGTTGCAGAAGAGGATCACAGAGGAGTGGTGAGTGTGTCATGGCCATCCATAGGACCCCCAAACCTGAGTTCATCTGCCTGGAAGCCTGACAGGTTCTTGGGGTTGGGGGTTTGTCTCCTGGAGGCCTGGGTGCCCCCTTTCCCTGAGATTCTTGTTTCAACCCTAGCCCTGTCTCTCCCAGGCTGGTGGCTTTGACTGGGCCTTGGGTGTCTCTCAGCATGTAGCCTAGACGAGATTTGACATTTGAGATGAACAGTGATGCCAGGCCTATTTTCCCTCTCAGCCTGTTCCTACCTTACTTTTTAAAAGGACCTTCTCGTCAGCAGTGGCTCCAGGTCCTCTCCTTTCTGTGCCCCTCAGCTTTTTGCCTATTTTCAGCATAAGCTGCAAGCCACTATTAGTGCCATGACACGGGAGAGGCCTGCCAATTTTTACTGCGCGCTCCCTGCATTTGGGAGGCCTGAAGTTTGCCTGCCTTGCTTTGCAGGGCTTGTGTGCCCCTCATGTCTCCTGACTTTGCCTTGGGTGACTGGGGATGTTTGTCTTGTCATCTTTGTCTCTGTGTGGCTGCGCCACTTTGTGAATCTTCGGAAACTGCAGAGCAGGTTTCACTGTGTCCTGAAGGTGTTTAGAGCCGGGTGTGGACTTGTGGTCACAAAGTTGATGTCTGGCAGCGCAGGCTTTCTCCTTCCATGCTCTGGAGTACCTGTTGGTCCTCACAGTATCTCCGTAGTCCTGTAAATGAGGATGACACAGGGCCTCTTGCCTTTCATCCCTAGTTGTTTAATTTATAAAATAAACCTTTGTGCACAGTTTCATAGGAGTACCAAGTGACGCCCTTTTTCTTGGGTTTTGTCATTAATAAGTATAAATCTCCAAAAAGGAGTGCTAAGATCAAAAATTACTATGTTGATTTTTCCTGTGGAGATTTGAACAATACTACTTACCCAAGACAGGGCTCTAATGATAGACCAAAAAGTAAAACCAACGGATTCCATCCAATCCCAGCTTAGCTGAAGCAGTGAGCATGGGTGACTTCAAGGTGGCTGCAGCAGGGGAGGTATCATGACAGCTGCATTCCTGGAGCTCCCCACAGCCTGATGGCAGCTTGGCAGAATGAAAAGTCTCTCCCAAGCAATTGCTACCGCTTGTATGACCTTAGGTGGGAGGCCTTCTGAATCGTGTAAGTTTCAGGAGCTTCATGAAGTTTTGGTGGCTTCCTGAGGCTGGTAAGTTTTACTACCTGAGTCTTAAGGAGCCTCCCTTTCCCGGAGTGGGTGTTTTAATGGAGAGGAAATAACTGCACAACATGTTTACTTCCTAGACTCTCCTTGTTCACTCAGCGCAGTCAGACGTTTTTTTCACCATTGGTCCTGCAAAGTCCTCCCTTTTCTCCATGGCTTTGGCGGCAGTGTATGGAGCCACCATTTCTAACCTGTGCTCATTTAGAATGTCACTTCACCACCCATCTTTGATAACTGTGGCCCGCCACTCAAGGGCAGCACTATTGCTAAGACCCTCCCTCTGTTTGGGTTCTGGGCCCCAGCTGGTGCTACTGAGGTGTTTAGAGAAATGCTCTTTTAGCGTCCAGCCCACACTCTGGGAGGAAACATGCTCCAAGAGGGTGACAGACACGCTTACCATCAGAGCACTACTCCACCTAGACTGTTCATTGATGACCACGCTTCTCCACACAGGGACACAAACCCTCGACTTGGAGACATCCTGCAGAAACTGGCCCCATTCCTGAAGATGTATGGCGAGTATGTCAAGAACTTTGACAGGGCAATGGGGCTGGTGAGCACATGGACCCAGCGCTCTCAGCAGTTTAAGGATGTCATCCACAGCGTCCAGGTAGGTGGCTGCAGAAGTGTGACATACACTTTTTTTTTTAATCCAAAAAGTTTTTTTTTTTTTTTTTTTTTAAGACAAGGTCTCAGGCCAAGCATGTGCCTTTAATCCCAGCACTCAGGAGACAGAGGCAGGTGAATCTTTGTGAGTCTGGGGCCAGCCTGGTCTACATAGCAAATTCCAGACCAGACAGCACTACATACTAAGACCATGTCCAAAACCAAAACAAACAAAATAAACCTCCACAACCAGACAAGGTCTCTAGGCCTGACTAGTTTGAACTCCCTATGCAGCCAAGGATGACCTTGGACCTCCAACTTTTCTTCCTTCACCTCCTGAGTGCTGAGATTACAAGTGTGCATCACCACACCTGGTTTATACAGTGCTGGGATTACAAGCCTGCATCAGCATGCCTGGCTTTTTCTACATGGGTTCTGGGGTTGAATTCAGGTCCTCATGCTTGAGCAGTTACAGCGTCTCCCCATCCCAGCCCCCTGGAGAAGCTGCGACACTAAATTCTCACATAAGGGTGTAGTATAAGACCCACATCTCCCTCCAGAGGGCAAGGCAGTCTTCAGCCTGAGCATAGCCACTGTCCCTGTCCACACAGGGCAGGACAGGCTCTTGGGGCTAGCAGGTCCTCAGGATTGGGATGACAATTATCTGCATTGATTGACTCAGCACTATGTTGTCCCTGAGCAGTGGGTACAGTCTGGGGATACTTCCTGTTAGACACAGTCATGGTTCTGCCCCTTGGCCTCAGCACAATTCAGCCATTCTCGGCAAAGACCTGGACTGTGTCTGCTGATCTGATGTTGCTTCTGCTATCTGGAGGGTAGAATCTGGGCCAGGTCTACAGTGCCCAGGATGCCCCACGGCAGCAAATTCTCCTATGCAAAGTCCATGGCCAAAGCCAAAAAGCCTTGACCTGGACAAAAATGGGATCAAATGACCATCAGGTTTCCCTTGGTCTCTGGAGAATTCTTTGCTTGATCCAAAGCCTATTTTAAATTATAAGCCTTAAAAAAATCCAAACGTTTACCAAGAGCTTGTAAAATGACCAACTTATGGCTAGAGAAAGAGCCAAGTACCTGAGTTTGGACCTCTAGCACCAGGTGAAGGCAGGCATGGTGGCATGTAGATGGAATTTTCTGTCTCTCCTGGTTCCACAGCCATTTAGCACACAGAGACTTATATTAATTATAAACTGTTTGGCAGATGGCTCAGGCTTCTTATTGGCTAGGTCTCCCTTAATTATTAACCCATAACTATTAATCTGTGTATCTCCACAAATTCTTAGCTTACCGGTGATGCCCAGGTCTTCCTCGGCAGCTACATAGTGTCTTTCTGGCGACTCACTATCTTCCTCCACCCAGAAGTCTCCTAGTCTGGTAGCCCTGCCTATACTTCCTGCCTGGCTACACCCTGCCTGTCCATTGGCCGAAACAGCTTTATTCATCAACCAATAAGAGAAACATGTATTTACAGCTTACAGGAGGGCATCTCCCATCAGTGGCATGTATCTGAAGCCTTGCACCAGGGGCTGAGGGTAGGGTCTCGAGACTGGTAGATTCTGGGGCTGATCAGCAAGCCTAGAAGAAGCTCAATTTTCAGTCAGAGATGTGTATGCACACAGCATACCCAGGCATGACCACAAAAGGACAAACATACAGACATTACAGATGCTCTGTGCTATTTACCGTTTTCTCTGAGCGCACATGGTGGTTGTTGTGTTTTGAAACTCATCTGCAGGCACTGCAGTCTCATCACTCAGTGTGAAGGTGCCCCACACGCCCACAGTGGTGACTGAAATGGAGAAGCTCACATGACTGTCACGGCCCACACAGTCATCAGCTATCCCAATGATGCCCTTCTAAGTTTTCTCTTTGTGGTTCACCAGCCACACTAGGGCCACACACTGCTCTCATTACCAGTTTGAGTCCTTCCCTCTAGAACAGGCTCTGCCCATGTCTTCTTGAGGGAATTGGCTGCCTCTTGACTTGGGTTTATCCACAGTTTTTCCATGATTCAGTTTGGGCAGTGCCTCTGTGTGAGTGTCACTGGAACAAAGCTTTTTTTTTTTTCTTCTCTATTCATAAATTCCTAGCAGGGAGATACTTTGAAGCCCTATGAACATCCATTCTGCATCTTCCCTTGATTCTTGCTTGAAATAGTGCGTGTGTGTGTGTGTGTGTGTGTGTGTGTGTGTGTGTGTGTGTGTCTGTGCTGTATGCCTGTGAACATGTGTGGGTATACTCATATATGTATATATTCATATACATATGGAGGTCAGAGGTCAGCTGAGGTTGAGTGCCTTCTGTCATTCCCCATCTTATGTTTTGAGGCAGGGTCTCTCACTGAACTCAGAACTCATGGGAAGGCTGGCCAATGGTATCTGAGTATCTCTGCCTCCCCAGCACCAGGGTAACCGTGACACCCAGACTTTTTTTAGATTTTTAAAAAATTTTGTATATGAGTTTTTTTTTTTTGCCCGCATGTATGTCTGTGAACCCTATGCCCATCTGCTTCTCAAGGAGGTCAGAAGAGGATGTCATGTTCCCTGAAACTAGGGTTACAGATAGTTGTTAGCCATGTAGTTGCTTTGACTGAACCCCGGTCTTCTGCAACAGCAGTAAGTTCTTTTAACCTTTGGGCCATCTCTCCAGCACCAATACTCAGATGTTTTTTTTTTTCTATAAGTGCAGCCTTCATTTAAAAACCAAAGACAGGCATGGTGGCTCACACCTTTAATCCCAGCACTCAGGAAGCAGAGGTAAGTGGATCTCTGAGTTTGAGGCCTGAACAGCCAGGGCTCCATAGAAAAAATCTTGTTTTGGAAAAACCAACAACAACCAAAACAAAACAAAAAGCCGCCATTACACCTCCCAAAAAACTAATTGTTTTAGGGGCTCAGAGGATGGCTTGGTGAGTAAAGTGCTTACATATAAGCACAGGAACCTGAGTTCAGATCCCCAGAAGAACCTGTTACACCCAAAAGAGTTTTGAGCCATTTCTACCAGAAGTGCTTGTTTGTCTTTTGGTTTTTCGATACAGGGTTTCTCTGTGTAGTTTTGGAGCCTGTCCTGGAAGTTGCTGTGTAGACCAGGCTGGCCTCAAATTTATAGAGATTTGCCTGCATCTGGCTCCTGAGTGCTGGGATTAAAGGCGTGTGCCACTACCGCCAGGCCAGAAGTGCTGAGGCCTGAGGAAGATGTGGGTGGCTGAGGCCCTGCAGTTGCTAGGGGCAGGGCAGTGGATTGGGGGTAGCAGCAGGCCCTCTGAGCTGTTGACATGGCAGCGGCAGATGAACCAGGCAGCATGGCAGGAGCACTTATGGTGAGCAAAGAGGCAATAGTGTGGTAACAGTGGTCATGGCATACTTGTGTTCAGGGTCAAGGGCGTAGACTCCTGCTGCTTGCACCAAGATGGCACTAAAGTGTGGCAAAAGGGGAGCTGTTATCTGGAGGGCAGAGGGGAGGTGTGGAGAGTGGGGACAACGCAGGGCGAGGCTTCTGCACCCCTGTTCTTTCCTTCATTAGTTATGCAGGGACTCACAGAAGGACTCTCAGAAGCCTCTAGGCATGGGACTGATAATTCGGGAGCTAGGCACAGATGGCATCCACCTGACAGAGAGGGAGTGGACCTGAGGGTGATGAGGGTTGGACAGGAGTGAGAGTCATTTTTGTAGTGGGGAGGCTTCGTCCTGGCATTTGTCTTCTCCAATCCAAACCTGCCCACCCAGGGAGTTCCCAATTCTCCCTCCATCATTAGGCCCCTTTGAGCCTCAGTTTCTCCAGCTGTAAGGTGTGGTCTGTGCCCACTGTGGCTTGAAAAGCAGGCAGCTCCAGGCAACCTCCAGGGACTGTGGTGCCAGAAGCAGGCTGGTGACCCCTGTGTGTTCTCTGTTCCCCCAGAAGCAGGAGGTGTGTGGGAACTTGACACTGCAGCATCACATGCTGGAGCCTGTGCAGAGGGTCCCCCGCTACGAGCTGCTGCTCAAAGACTACCTGAACAGGCTCCCCAGGGATGCCCCAGACCGGAAGGATGCTGAGAGTAAGTGGAGGTGGCTGATGGGGGAATTTCTGGAAGAGGCTGAGAACCTGGGCTGAGACATACGGGGGGAGAGAGAGAGAGAGAGAGAGAGAGAGAGAGAGAGAGACAGAGACAGAGACAGAGACAGAGACAGAGACAGACCAATAACTAGGAAACTAGGAAATTTATTTAATCTTTTCCTATCCCACAAAAGGATGCTGTCTCCGGGGAAGACACTGCCAAGCACTGGCTCCATTCAGAGCTTAGGATCCAGCAATGGGCCCCACAGTGAGGGCATTCTTGTTTGTTTTTTTTTTTTAAGATTTTATTTATTTATTATGTATACAGTCTTGTGCCTGCATGCCAGCAGAGGGCACCAGATCTCATTCAGGGTGGTTGTGAGCCACCATGTGGTTGCTGGGAATTGAACTCAAGACCTCTGGAAGAACAGCCAGTGCTCTTAACCGCTGAACCATCTCTCCAGCCCCCCTCTTGCTTGGTTTTTTGTTTGTTTGTTTGTTTGTTTTTTGTTTTTTTCAAGACAGGGTTTCCCTATGGCTTTGGAGGCTGTCCTGGAACTAGCTCTTGTAGACCAGGCTGGTCTCGAACTCACAGAGATCCACCTGCGTGCTGGGATTAAAGGTGTGCACCACCACTGCCCGGCAAGTGAGGGCATTCTTATCTCAAGAGTCATGACCGATGTAACTGGCGGGCAGCACAGGGCTGGGGACTGTGCAAGAGAGTCAGGGGTCCCACTTGTGTTGGCCCCACAGGCTCAGCAAGGGGCTCTTGCCTTTGTCTTTTCTCTGGGCCATACCTCTGGAGCAGTAGGCAGCCTGAGCAAAGCCAAGCACAGGAACAAGGCCTCCTGCTGGGGGCCATGCCCACATTTTCACTGTCAGCCTGTCCAGTGAGAACTTCTGGAGTTGCCACGTGCCCAGGCTCACTCAGTTCTCCTCATGCAGGGTCTCTGGAGCTCATCTCCACAGCTGCTGACCACTCCAATGCTGCCATCAGGAAGATGGTGAGTTCAGACTGCTGCAGGGAAGCAAAGCCTAAGCAGGGAGAGTGGGGAGGGGGGGAGGGGGACCATGTAAGCAAGCACCTTGACCCCTGACTCCAGGAGGGCCCCATCAGTGAGCACATATACACCCAGGTTCCTTAGGACATGCCGGGTGCACCTCCTAGTACCCCCTAGTAATACCACGTGCATGCTCAGCCTTGCTCTGTACAAACCAGGTAGGCATACACCCACTGTCTTAGTTAGGGCTTCTAACCTTGTGAAGAAACACCACGACCACGGCAACTCTTATAAGGAAAACATTTCACTGGAGTGGCTCACTTACAATTTCAGAGGTTCAGTCCATTATCATCATGGCGGGGGGCATGGCGGTATGCAGACAGACATGGTGCTGGCTACATCTTGATCAGAAGGCAACAGGAAGTGATCTCAGTGTCAACACTGAGCAAAGTTTGAGCAAAGGAGACCTCAAAGCCCATCTCCACAGTGACATATCTCTCCCAACAAGGCCACACCTCCTAATAGTGCCACTTCCTATGAGCCTATGAGGGCCAATTACATTCAAACTACCACAACCACCTTCCCAATGCAAGCTAGGACATGCCATGACTGTTATCTATATGTGCTGCTCCTCTATATACCTGCTAGATCCTGCAAGGTCATGGGCTCTTCCCTGCCCTTCAGAGTCCCATGCATCCTGTACTGTTTGGTCCACTAGCATCTATGGCTTCCACACAAGAGACAGAAGGGCCAGGCTGACCTGCCAACTTCTAGGTACACAGGTAGAAATTGCAGGTCTAAGGACAGGACATCTGAGGTCTAGCAGGTCCTGCCCCAGCCCATGCTGCTATTGTCTAAGTCCCTACAGGCTCAATTCTACTGTCAATATTATTGAATTCTAACCAAGAGCTAGAGCCATGAGCTGTTAACCTTGTCCCCATTGAACCTGTTTGCATTGTGACTCCCCAACCAGGCCTGGGGAATGTGATATGTAGATTGGCCTAGTCTGGGTCATAGCCACTCAACTGACTCCTGCATGCCTCAGTTTCCTTGTCTGTAAACTGAAAATAACATTGTCCCTCACCTTAGAGAGTTTGCACAGAGTTGAATAATTAAAATATGGATGGTGTAAAACGGTCCCTGGCACATGACAACAGGGGTTTATGATTTATCACTTCCTGAATGATGAGTTTCTAGTCACCCTTCAATACTCAGCTCGAACGTCATACTGAGTTTGCTTTCCTTTTGGCTGGCAGTCATTTTGTTACTACAACGGACTCTGCATCACAGTTGCAGAGCATGAATTTGCTCACCTCTGGGTCCCAGGCAGTTCCCTAGCCCTTGGTGACTTTGCACCTGCCTGAGCTTCCTGTCTCTTGCAGGAGAAAATGCACAAGCTCCTGGAGGTGTATGAGCAGCTGGGTGGGGAAGAAGACATCGTGAACCCAGCCAATGAGCTGATCAAGGAGGGCAACATCCAGAAATTGTCGGCCAAGAACGGTACCACGCAGGACCGGCACCTCTTCTTGGTGAGCCAGGCTGCCATCCCAGCCACAGAACTCCCCCGTCTGTCTTCTCAGGCTCTGGGAAGTACTAGCAAGATGCAGAAGCCCAAGGAGGAGGTTCTTCTGTGGCCTCTCCTGATGATTTGCTGGGTTATCTCTTGTCAAGGGCTCTGCCCTGGTTTCCACAAGCATCTAATATTGATGCCCCTTATATCCAGCATTTCAGTTTTTCTTTGATCTACCTCTGTTAACAATGAAAGAGTCTCCAGAAACCAGAAATGTAAAGAATTGCAGCCAAACATCAAGATCCCACCTTTCCCCAGAACCAAACTGGTTTATAGGGAGGGGAAAAGCAGGAAGGAATTATAGTGAGGGATCCACTTGAATACCTGATATAGGAAGAAACACGATTCTTTTTTTTTTTCCATTTTTCTATAGCAACTTCTCTTCTTCCCCTACTTCCCCTTCTCTCCTCCTCCCTCCTCCTCTTCCTCTTCCTTCTTCCCAAGGCCTTACATTTGCTAGGCAAATACCCTATTTTCACTGCCTTATAAGGGGAGCCCTGTATCTGTTCCTGAATAAGTAGCTGTATCTTTGAAAGTTTCCTTTTTTTTTAAACCTCAGGCCTGTGGCATAGCTAGCCACAGGTTATTGGCTAATAATGCTAGGTTTAGATTTCGTTGTGTGGGATGGGCCTTAAATCCAACTGGAAAGTGATTGGTTACTCCCAGGACATTCCTGCCACTATTGTACCAATGGGCGTGTCTTGCTGGACCAGTTGTTATTGTAGCTTACTGGGTTCACAGCTGGGTATGATTGATGCTTACATCTCCTCTGTTAACGCACACAGCACCTTTCAGCATTAGAGAAGCTCAGTAGGAATGAAGCTTCCGGGTCAGCACCAGCTAGATTTCTCCATGTTCTATGACCCAAGTATGTGGAATTTTCAGCAATAGAGTCTTAACATCAAGTTCTGGACTGTAACCAAGAGCATGGGCAGTAGCCTGTACTGTACTGGTATTTAGTGGGGCCAACACCGTCCATTATGGGCTCAGAATCTGCCTTTTGAAGGTTGTGCTTAAAGGCATATGTGTACATCTTTAAATAAATAGATATAAACTTACACATGTATAATATATATACATATATATGTATATATATATATATATATATATTACTTTAAGACATTAAAGAAAGCTTATGTGGGTCCCTAGGAGGGGCTCCCTGTGACCACCTCTCCCCATGACATCTTTCTTGCAGTTCAACAATGTGATGCTCTACTGTGTACCCAAACTAAGGCTCATGGGCCAGAAGTTCAGTGTACGGGAGAAAATGGATATCTCTGATCTCCAGGTGGGTGGGTCCCTCTCTCCTCTCTTATACTCTGGAAGGGGAACAAGTAGGGATGGGGATGCTGGCTTTGATGGCCAGCTCTGTGACTTTAGGGTTTCTGAGACAGCATCTTGGTCCTGGTATACTAGCCTTGGGTAGGCAGTGCTGCCCATGGTCTTGGATTCTACTTTCTGTCAGGTCCCTGATGGTCTCATGCTGAAGGGAGCAGGAGGCTGGAATTAAAGTTCACAGCCATGAGGGTCACATAGACACAAGAGAGGCTGTCTAAAGATACAGAAGCAAAATTCAGGTCACAAAAGCCTATTCCATATGTCATGATATTCAGAGCTGATATGGATTCTATCTGCCACTGAGAGAGATTTGAATTAATAATTGCTCCAAAATATTTTCTTCCCTTTTTTTTGGATTTTTTTTGAGACACGTTTCTCTGTAGCCTTGGAGTCTGTCCTGGAACTCTCTCTGTAGACTAGGCTGGTCTCAAACTCACAGAGATCCACCTACCTCTGCCTCCTGAGTACTGGAACTAAAGGCATATGCCACCAATGCCCGGCTCCAAAAATATTTTCTAATTAAATGACTCTAACTATCTGAAAAAGCCAAGATTAGATTAAACAACTACCCACTCCATAGAAATTCCCTTGGAATTCTCTGGATCCAGGTTAAGAAATAATTACAAGCAATGACTAGCTACAGGGGGGAAAATGCTTCTTCCATAGTCAGAAGAAACCACTTTTGCAGAGTTGCTCTATGAGAAATCAGTCCTGGGGCTACAGAAATGACTCAACAGTCAAGAGCTCTTGCTGCTCTTTCAGAAGACCCAATTTCAGTTCCCAGCACCCAAACTGAGTAGCTCACAACTGCGTGGAACTCTAGCTCCAGGGTATCCAATTTCTCCCTCTGGCCTCTTCAGGCACCTGTACTTGTGTTCATAACGGCACACAGACACATACATAAGTAAGTCTTTAAAGAACCAGTCCTGGGCCAGGCAGTGGTGATGCATGCCTTTAGTCCCAGCACTTGGGAGGCAGAGACAGGTGGATCTCTGTGAGCTGGAATCTAGCCTGGTCTACAGAACTAGTTCCAGGACAGGTAGGGCTGTTACACAGAAACCCTGTCTCAAAAAACCAAAAAACAAAACAGCCCTGTTTTAGCGACTCTCATATGTTAATACCATTTTCAACATGTAGTGGGAAAGTCCAGAGGTTTGTTTCTGGCTGGGTTCAGGACTGCATATCTGAGATGCCTCCAACAGGTTGACTGAGGTCAGGGGCTCTTACAGGGACCAGCCCAAGAGCTGTCAGGAGCAACTGTGCTCTGTGGTTTTCTGTTGATAGAGGAGGGTGGAATCTGAGAGCCTCCAAGGACATAATACTACTCCATCAACTCTGTCTGGGTGCACTCCTTTACCCATAATGCACCTGCCCATGTGGGCTCCAGCACCTTCTGAGGGACAGAGTCAAGGATCTTCTAAGATTTTCAGACCTCCAGGGAGGTGCAGGCTGTGCTGGGAATGTAAAGCCCTGACTGCTGGAAGGGAAAGGTTTGGCCAGCGCTTTGTGGGGACAGCGGCTGAAGGAGGTCTGATGGACAGGCACGTTTGCCAAACATCTGTCTAAACAGAGACCGAGGCCCAGCTCTGTGTGGACAAGACCATTGGCCAGCCCTCCCCCTGAGCCTCAGTATCCCCACCTTATAGATCTGAGAGCCCACGGAGTAACCCTGACACTTCCACAGGAGAAATAAATAAAATAGAAACCTCTGAATCAAAGAACATGGGTCTGTCTATGTTAAAGAGCAGCTGAAGCGGCAGCTTGCATTCATTTGCTCTGTTTTGTGTTCTTGTTCCTGCAGGTGCAAGATATTGTGAAACCAAATGCTGCACACACGTTCATCATAACAGGAAGAAAGAGGTCCCTGGAGCTTCAGACTCGGTATGGCACTAGCATCTGCAGCTGCACGAGCATCTTTGACCCAAGTCTGTAGCAGATGGCTTCTTTTTTTGTGAATGAGATAACCTTTCAATATGTTCTTATTCACTTACAACTCAACATTTCACATAATTAAGAATGGTTAACAACAATTAAGAACTAAGCTTTTAATTCCAGGTGTGTGTGTGTGTGTGTGTGTGTGTGTGTGTGTGTGTGTGTTTTAATTAAAGATGGGAAGATGTCTCAGTGGATGAAGTGCCTGCCTCATGGCGTGAGAACCTGAGTTAGTCAGACACAGCAGTGTGTGTCTGCAATCCCAGTCCTGTCTTCGAGGCTTGCTCTTTAGCCATCCTAGTGGAATCAATGAGCTCCAAGTTCAGTAAGAAGTCCTGTATCAAAAGTAAGGTGCACAGTGATTGCACAGGACACACAATGCCGACCTCTGCCCTCTACATACATGCATACATGAGCACATGAATGTGTGCATGTGCACACACCCACTCAAAGGTGGTTACTACAAACAGCATGTGTCATGGTTAGGATTTCTTTTTTTTTTTTTTAAGATTTTTATTTTGTGTGCATTGGTGTTTTGTTTTGCCTGTATGCATGTCTGTGTGAAGGTGCCAGATCCCTTGGAACTGGAGGTACAGACAGTTGTGAGCTGCCATGTGGGTGCTGGGATTTGAACTCAGGTCCTCTGGAAGAGCAGCCAGTGTTCTTAACCTCTGAGCCACCATCTCTTGAGCCCCTTGGTTAGAGTTTCTATCGCTGAGATAAAACACTATAACTAAAATCAACTTATGGAAAAACTTATTTCACTTACACTCCCAGGTCATATCCACCGCTGAAGGAAGTCAGGGCAGGAACTGAAATAGAGGAACCTGCTTACCAGTTTGCTCCCCATGGCTTGCTCAGTCTGTTTTCTTATATGACCCCAGGGCCACCTGCAGAGGGGTGGTACCACCCACAGTATGCTGGATCCTTGCACATCATTAATATCAAGAAAATTCCCCAAGATTGCCTACAGGACATCTGATGGGGGCACTCCCTGGACTGAAGTTCCCCTTCCTACAAAACTCCACCTGTGTCAGTTTGACAAAACACTAACCAGGATGCAGCATCTGGCTTTTTCAGTTAATGTGTCAGGATTCATCCTAGAATCTCACATATTTTCCCAGAATAGCATGATCCCCAGCAGTATTATTAACTGGAGGTGGTGGGATGGCTTAGTGGGCGAAATACCACTGCCAAGCCTGATGACTTGGGTGCTATCCTTCATGGTAGAAAGAAAAAGCCAAGTCCTGCAAGTTACCCTCTAGACCTTCATAGGTGTCGCTAACACCTGTACACACACACACACACACACACACACACACACACACACAAATGGCCATTGGACCAAGCTGGTCTCATTGGAGCAAACTGTGCCAAGAACAGAGCCCCACACTTGGGCTTTTGTGTACACGCATTGCGGCCTCTGACAGATGAACCTCTAAGGAGGAACTACCGCTCAGCATGTGGATGTCTGCTGAATCTGGTCATACTGTCCTCCAAGGCCAAGTCTGAGCTCTCACAAGCAGTGTTCCACAAATCCAGTCTGTCACATTCCACCCATGGCATGAGAGACCCCTGTCAGGGGCCAGGATGCTATTGGTCTGCAGGATGAGCCTGGCCCCATGGGTCATGTGTGTTCTGAACATTGAAACTACCCTTCCAGCCTTGAGTTGCAGTTACAAGGTGGTGAGTGACTAGGTAGGCACACAGGGGTACCGGTGGATGGGGTGATGAAATACTGATTTTGTCTTTGTAGGACACAAGAAGAGAAGAAAGAATGGATTCAGGTAGAAGCCTCTCAAGTCTGTTCTCTCCATCTCTCCCTCCTGTGGATCAAACCTAGAGCTTGGGGCCTGTTCAGCAAGGGCTCTGCTTCTGAGCTGCATCACCAGCTCTTGGGTTTAGGGGATAGGTTTTGGTTTGGGGGTTTTTGAGGTTTTTTTTGTTTTTTGTTTTTTGTTTTGGTGGGAGGGGGTTGAGACAGGGTTTCTTTCTCTGTATAGCTTTGGAGAGCCTGTCCCGGTACTCACTTTGTAGACCAAGCTGGTCTCAAACTCATAGAGATCTGGGGATAGGTTTTGTTAAGGGAACAACAACATTGACTCCAAACCCTCAGGCCTCCTGCCTCAGTTTCCTTAAGGCTGGGATTTCAGACATGCAGCACCATCTATGGCTTACACCCTCATGTTATTGTAGTATGGCCATTTCATGTTGGAACACATGACTCAGGAAACTCTTCCCTAACGCTAGCACTGCCTGTCCTCACGTCTGAAGGGAGGAGTGGCCATGGGGTGCCTCTATATATGCTTTCAGGTACCACAAGCCTTCCAATCCATTTACTTGTTTGAGCCCCTTTTCCACAAGTAAGGAAACAGGGCCAGGAGGGGCCTCGGGCTAGGTGTTGTCTTTCTGGAGCCAGTCTCTTTGGTCATGAATCATCAGTCAGGATAAGATGATCAGGGTTTCTCTGTGGGCATCTGGACCCTGCATTCTCCGTGTCCTTCCCTGGCTCTCTGACAGTCCCTGAGACTTTGCTGTGTGTCCAGGTTATTCAGGCCACCGTGGAGAAGCACAAACAGAAGAGCGAGACCTTCAGGGCCTTCAGCGGTGCCTGTAGCCAGGATGAGGAGCCCAGCCTGTCTCCAGACCAGCCTGTAAGTCAGTAGCCTGTTGTCTGGGGGAAGGGGTCGTTGGCTCTTGGCCAGGGAGAGAGGCCTAGGCATGATGCAGACAGCTCGAACACACATTCCCTGCTTGCCCTGTACTGAGTCCGACTGCAACCCGCCGCACCTGCTGCCTTGTGCAGGAAGTACTCCTTTAGTGCTACTCTGTCATCTCCATGCCTTCAGCAAGGCAGCCATGAGCATCAAGCGACCTTATCTTCTTCCTATGGAACCCGAGCCTCAGAGGCCCAGGGACATTCCCAGGCCACTGCACTGGTATGGACATCCTCAGGTCATGGTGCCCACCTTACACTCCACTTGGAACAGCAAGTGGTGTCTTTTTGTGCTTGTGTTTTCTCCCCAAATTCCCCTGTACCCCTGAGGTGTCGGCTCAAAACCCTCTGCCAATAGCACCAAGAGTATCTGGTTCCTCATCCTCTGTGCAGTGGCCCCAGGGGTACAATAAGGAGACGCGACTGAGGCAGGGACTGGGGTGGCCATCCCTCATGTTGGGGCGCTCCCAGACTTAGAGCAGGCTGCATGTGGAAGGTGATTTCTGCCCTGTGGGAGGACAGCCCTAGAGGCTACACCAGAGGCTACAGCAAAAACTCCCAGGAAGAGGTACTCTGGGACAATGGTGTGCACCCTCCCCACCCCCACTCTCTCCACCATCATGGGCTGGCTTTGCTCACACTCACCGCGTGTGTCTGCAGGGAACACTTGGCCCATCCTAACTCTGCAATCTTTCCACCTCCAGCTGGCTGGCCTCCTGCCCTCAGAGATCTGCCTATTCCTTAGCATTTGCATCCAATCCACTCCCATTTTTTTTCCCCGGATATGCATTTGAGGAAAAGCTAGCACTCTTCGAAGGGAGGATCCTGTGAGCTCCTTGAGGGCAAGTGACCTAGAGACAAAGGGAACAGACAGGCTGACATTAGTCAGCTGGGCCTGGAGCATGAGAAAGTCGGCAGACTCTTCACACAGATCACAAGGATAGGGGACAACCTTATCCTTCCATTTTTCAGTATCAGGATTAGGGTGGGCCAAGCCAGCCTCACTTGACACCTGGTGCCTTTGGTTGAGGGAAGGACGTGGCTCCTGGAGCCCGGCTTATTATACCAGCTGCCTCAAATCACTACTCCTCCGTGCACGGAGGTGTTAGGTGCATGTCATGTGACTGCAAAGTCACTTCACACTGGTCTCTGTTCTCTTGCAGATCATGAGTGCCAGCTCTGTGGAAACTGCAGGGGTAGCCGACAGCAATGGGGGCACTGCAGGGGTGAGTGACTGACACCCAGGGGTTAGCAGGAGTGGGAGGTGCTGGGGGTGGGATCAGACCAAGGCATCCTGAAGGGTGAGGATCCCGGACTCAACTTGCCTGGGTGTGCAGATGTGTGGCCGTGCCTGAGGCAGGGTACTGGTGACTTAAGTAGCAGAGGTGGAGGCCACAGGAAGCCTGTTAGTGGACATTACACAACTACGTGTTGTGTGAGAGAGCCGTCTGGTCTCCGCTTGCTGTGTGGGAACCTCACTTTGACAAGGTCTGCAGTAAAGCAAAGCAGCAGTGTGAAGACAGGTTTTCCGGAGGCTGTGGGCTCCCCGCCTCTCTCCCTTCTCAGGGCCAGGCTCCTGTGCCTTTCTGATAGGGACTGACCATGGGAACTTGGTGGGGGGGTCTATATTTTAACTTGGGGGTGTCTGATAGGCAGAGGTAGACACATGTTTGCGGTGAACTGAGTACCAGCAACCGAGCCACACCATCACTTTGGGGCTTGATATTCACAAACACCCATGACAATAGTAGCTGGGACAACTCTGGGCCATAGCTTCACTTGTAGCCTAGAGTGATAATTCTGCACAGCATCTGGGCCCTGATAGAGTACTGTACTAGGAGAGTGACTGGTGCCACCTGGTAAGGTGTCTCCAGCCCATCCCAGACATAGGCTCTTCTCCCTGGGCCCCTTGACACTACGATGGGGTACCTTCCTTTGTTCTCTCCTACACACCTACCTGTGTGCCTGCTCTTTACCTCCCCCTTTCTCTTGGTCTCTCATTCTGTCTCTGTGTCTCTCTTTCACAGTCTCTGTCTCTCCATGTCTCTTCCGTGCCTCTCTTTCCATCTCTCAGTTGCTCAAGCATAGCCCAGATCACCTTGCACTGGAGACAGGAAAGAGCTACCCAGACGGAGCCCAGGAACAGCTGGGGACTCAGCCCTGGAGCTCTGAGAATATGGCCTTGTTAGATTACAACTGCTGGGTTTCCCTTCCCATAAAGAGGAGGTCAGTCAGGTGAGCTGCCTTGAAGCAAGTGATGGACAGGCTATGGGCAGGACCACCTGGGATAGAGAACAGAAGACGGCTGGTGTGACAGTGAGTCCCGTGTACAGACAGTATGGAGCCCTGGCCCGTCAGGGTGGGCCTGAATACCGCTGTTCCCCTTCCTAGTGACCACAGCTCCCCCAAGCCCCACAGATGTGAGCTCATTCTGGCCACTGTCAGGCAACGCTGGGAGTGCTTGAGGGAGAGCTGAGACATTTCAGAGGTTTGATGAGGAAAGAGCAAGGCAGAGCCTGAAATCAACAGGAACTGGACAAGAGGAGAGACCCTGTCGAAAGGCTGCTGCTGTCTGGCCTCTGCAGAGTAGACAGACACCCAAGGATGAGCTCTGTTGAAACTGGAAGTCAGGAAGTCTAAACATGTTGCATGCAGCCGAAGGGGAAACAAACATCTAGACACCCAGTGATTTCCTACACTGGTTTGTCTGTTCCTGACACCTACTGGCAATGTTCTGACCTCCCCTGACTCCACCAGGCCCCTGGCCTTCACACCCCACTATCAGCTCTGCCTACATCCAGGAAGCCCCTTGTCCCAGGGTTCCTGGCAAATACTTCTCATTCTCCCGCCACCTAACCTAGTGTCAGCTTCTGAGTTACTAATGTATATATATGAAGTTGGCTTTACCCAGAGCCATACAATCCTGTTAGTCTTTTTCCTGAAGCTTGTGACTATGTGGCTACACCAAAGTTGAGCTTTCAGAGGGGCACGTGGTCACCTGGTTAAGTCAGCAGTTCATGAACTCATAGTCTGAAATGCTCCCAAGCCAGCTCCACATCTTTAGGCTAGGATGGGTACCCATGACCATCTCCCTGATGTTGCCTTGGACTCTGTCCTCAGCCCTGGGGTGGGCTTGTGGAGGCATTTCTGGTGACTAGCTGATGGCTAAGGCATTCAGGCCCAGGAAATCCACCAGCTCTTTGTTCATGCAATCTCCAGGGCTAAGCTCACAGACCCAGCAGTTGCAGTCAGGCAGAGGTTCAAGGTGGGGATGAGCACTGTTTGTAGGAACAGGGGTGCCTGGGACTGCCCTAAAGACATCAGCTGTGGTGCTCCCAAGTGAGATGTCTCACAGCTGGAGCTAAGTGGGGTCAGTGCCAACATTAGGAGGATGCAGCTGGAAGGAAATAGAGCTGGCTTTGGATTGAAGCCTTGTGTAAGTGTTGTCTACTCCGGCTGTACTGTCTTCTGAGAGAGAGAGAGATGGGGAAGCTCTGGGGTACCTAATACGGGCTGCTCTTGTCTGCTGCCCATGCCCTTTGATTGAGAAGAGACAGCTTGGAGCCCCAGCGTCAAGGCCTCAAGCCATATCCAGGACATGGTCACCACACCTGACCATACTTCATGCCCGGTCTCTCCCACTTGCTTTTCCTGCTTCTGCGCCAGGACAGAGTCTTTTACAGGTTCACAACATTCACCCCACAGCAGCCCAGTGTCCAGTTCTGATGTCCCTGTTCCTTTCTCCTCACTAAACCAAGCTGAGGCCAGCCCTTCCTCCAACAAACAAGTCCACAACAGCGATGCTCCAGGAGATATGGCCATGGGCTTCCCCCTCAATTCCGCCACTGAGCTGAGTAGAGCTGAGCTGAGATTTTGGTGAAGTCAGGATGGTTTGGAGGCATTTGGGGACCTGCACTGAACAACACCACACCACAGAGGAAACCTACAAGATACTCAATAGCAAGGTTTCATTTTTAATCAGAAGGGCTTTGGCCATGGGTGCCAGACTTATACTGCTTCTTGGCGTGTTTGGAGAGGAAAACAAATCCGTTCGCTGTACTGGACTTGTGTCTTGTGCCTAGGTGTCTTCTGATATACAGCCTCTGTCAGTCCCTCTTTCCTGAGAGAAGCCAAACCACATAGGGAAGTTTTGCAAGTGCCCTTGCAGAATTCAAAGGCTTCCTCATTCTGTTAAAAGTTCAGTTGCTCACAACAGAAGCACACACACACACACACACACACTCACACAAAATCTCAGTCTGAAAGTCCCCCTTCAGAGCTCCATACCTACTCTGAGTGACACAGACCTGTCCTAGACACCATCGAAGCACTGTGTCTGTTCACCCACAAGCCAATGGCTTCCCAGTGACACTGGCCCTGTCTTTTCTCCACAAGGCCCCATGCTGTACCTACCATTAGGCTCCAGAACAGTAGTGCCATTAGAGGAGTAGAGGGACCAGGTTTGGCTTCAGCTGAGCCTGGCCACCTCATGTTGGGATGACTCCCAGCAGGACCTGATGTCCTTAACCTGTGACCAAGTGGACTGCTGGGTCATTTTATGACTTGATACAGGCCAACTGGCAGGGGTTCACATCTGTCATACTGGGAGGTCCCTTTACCCACTAAGCTAAACTGCCAAGGCAGGGACACTGAGGAAATCACTCTATTGACCCTCAGTGGAGAACAGCTGCAGGGTAGATGTTGTAGATGCTTTTGGCTGGAGCTGCTTTTTCGGTTACTTCCTGGCAGTCTTGAACCTAGACTTCCTGTCATGCACCACCTGTACAGGAAATCTGGTCTAGGGTCCTTTGGTCAGCCCTGCCTGATGATCTCATCCATGAAGGAAGTGTACTTGGTTGGGAGACCAGTCCTTGGCTACACATGTGTGTCCTCACGCCTTGGCTACCTGATGCTCTGTAATCAGCAAATCCAATCAGGCCTCTTGTGTTGTGGATGGCACAGTTGGAGAGCCAGCCACAAGGTTGGGCCACAGTGGACCTCAGCATCAAGGGATCCATGTGGGGCTAAAGCTCCGGTCTGGCACACATTTTGGCAATTCTGTCTTGGTCAAGTGATGCTTACTAAGTGAAAGGAGCTGAGGGACTTCTCTCATCTAGTCAGTCCCTAAGTCTTAAAGCTCTTTGCTTCAGGAACTTCCCTTTGTCTGAATCCCATTGGTCCCAGGACCTGAACTCTTGGTCACACCCCAGCTCACCTCAGCTTTTCCTCCATCACCAAATGACCCACTAGGGACCCTGGTGACTCCTAGAGCCTCCTGCACTCTCAACTACCTTGTAGGACTTAACAGCTGGGGCCTCTGCCTGAGGTCCCTGAGAACCACCACAAGCCAGGACTATTTGGTCAGCAATTAATCCCACCACCTTGACATTTAAGATTCCTCACAGGAAAAATAGGGGCATGGACATCTTGAACCTGGGCAGAGGGTGGAGACTGCAGGGCTACATCACACCCCCTCCCTGTCTCAATGACCACTTGGACACCTCAGCAGTCCCTAGAGGAGGTCACAGTGGGAGTCTTACAGGGCTGGGGGTTCCTGAGGCTAGGTGAGGGGTACACTTCCAGATGCAGGAAGACACCGTCCTTGGGAGTGAGGGTTTCGAATGTCAGGTCTGGAATGCCTGCCCACTGGGCACAAAGCCTTGACAGGGGACCTGAGAACAAGGTACATTGCAGAGGGAGGAGGTCAAGGCCATCTTCCACCCTTGTCCTTGGAGCAAGGACTCACAAAATGGAAGAAGGGGGGTCCTTCAGGAGACACAGAAAGAGGTCAAGTCTGAACACAGCCTCAGCTGGCTTGGTTTCCTCACAAGACCTGTTTCTGCAGGACTGGCACACAGGCATGTGGACACACATGTGTGTTTATGTATAAGGTGTGCCTGTCCCCAGGTGTTCAACACAGACTAGGCATGTGACAGGGTGAAGGATGACCCTCAGGATCTAGGGGTCCCATGATCCCTCTGGGCTGCAGTTAAGGACACCCCAGGCTCTGGCAGCAGGTGCCATCTGTTGTAGACTCCACTTTGCCTCACAGTATTTCCTCAGACACACCAGATAAAGCCACTGGCCAAGCTGTCTTGGAACCTTTCTTCGGGCAGTGTGTGGTGTGACACGATGCCCTGGGGTCGTCCCTGGGAGAAGGGCTGGGAAGGGGGTGCAGCTGCCTTAGCTCTGCCTATTCCCTTCTACAATGTCCACTTTTGCTCTGGGCATTGTCACCTGCAGAATCCTTAGCTCCACTCCTCCCCTGCCCCCACCCACCCACAGCGGGCCATCGCGCGCTCACACTCCACAGCTGATGACAGCCACTTGCCTCCTTGTAGATCGAGTCCAGAAAGTTGTCCTCTAAAACAAGACGTGACAAAGAGAAGCCTGGATGTAAGAGCTGCGGTGAGACCTTCAACTCCATCACCAAGAGGAGGCATCGCTGCAAGCTGTGTGGAGAGGTGAGCATGCGGCAAGCGGGAGGAAGTGGACTGGACAGGGCCATGTAGCCACTCATTGAGTTTTTACAGGTTCTAAGGAGTGGGCGGCAGCCACTATGGCATGCACTTCTAAAGAGTCCTCGTGGGTCCTGAGCCACATGGCAACCCTGCAGGGCTGCCTCCTCTAGATCCTGTATTAGTTACTTTTCTCATTGTTGTGCCACGTGATACCTGACAGGAGACAACTTAGTTTGGGGGTACACAACCCATTGTTGCAGGGAAGGCGTGGCAACTGGCGGTGTGAAGTACCTGGTCGTGTTGTATCTGCACTCGGGAAGCAGGAAGCGGACAGGAAGTGGGGATGGGCTATCAAACATTAGACCCTACCCTAGTGACTCACTTCCTCTAACAATGTTTTCTAGTCTTCTAAAACAGTACCAGCCACCGAGTGTTCTCATACATGAGCCTGGGGGGAGATATTTTAGATTTAAACCAGAACACTGTGACCCACATATGGATGTCCTTGAGAATGAACCTCTGAAGGAAAAGCTAATTTCTGGGCAGCTCTGACGTCTGACAACATTCCTTCCAACTGGGAAACCGCTGGCCCTGGTGCCTCTGTGCCCCAACTGGGAGTGTGTAAGATGCAGTGTTTCTATCTTGTGTTAGATAGAGAGGATGTCCTTATGCAAGGTGTTGAGGCAGGAGAAAGAAGGTGGAGGACTTCGCTGTGGTGAGAGTGCTCCAATGGTGAGGAATGTCTGATGGGATCATGCAATAAGGGGACACCACTGACCGGTGTCCCCAAAATGTACCAGCTCCAGTCTTCCCCACTAGCCAAAGCTCCTGCCCCTGACAATGAGCAAACGAATCAATACTTAATACTGAACTTCAAAGTGTCCTTGGAGAAGGAACTGGTGACCTAAGTATGTTTACATTTCGATATCAAAGCTGCACCTGGGGGGAGGGATTGAAGTGAGAGGAGAGAGAGAGGGGGAAAGAGGAAGAGAGGGAGGGAGAGAGAGAGAGAGAGAGAGAGAGAGAGAGAGAGCGCCTATGTATCTCACAGACTGACTTGAAGCTGTTCCAGGACAGCCAGAGCCATAAAAAGAAAAAAAGAAAAAAGAAAGAAAGGAAAAGAAAAGAAAAGAAACGAGAAATAGAAAAAGTGTGAGGGCTGCTTTGCCAAACTGGGCTGCAGTTGAAATGAGGAAAGATCCCAGACTTATTGGCCAGTGAGCTCCAAGCATCTGCCCATCTCTGTCTCCCTAGCTCGGTTTACAGGCAAGCCACTACTCCCAGCTTTTACATGAGCCCGGGGGATCTGAACTCAGGTCCTCACACTTGAGCATCAAACACTTTACAGACTGAATCTGTTTTGATTTTTTTTTTTCAAATCACTTAGATTCTTTTTATTTTTTTTCTTTTCAGATCCATGTATTTTTCTTTTTTTCAGATTTTTTTATTTGAATTAGAAACAAGATTGTTTTACATGACAATCCCAGTTCCCTTCTCCCTCCCCATCCTCCCCTACCACCCCCCCCCACTAAAACCCTACCTATCACATATTCTTTCTGCTCCCCCTGGAGGGTGAGACGTCCATAGGGTGTCATCAGAGTCTATCATATCCTTTGGGATAGGGTCTAGGCCCACCCCCGTGTGTCTTGGCTCAGGGAGTATCCCTCTGTGTGGAATGGGCTCCCAAAGTCCACACCTATGCTAGGGATAAGTACTGAACTGTACTGAACTACTACAGGAGGTCCCGTAGATTTCTGAGGTTTCCTCAATGAAATCCATGTTCCTGGGGTCTGGATCAGTCCCATGCTGGTTTCCTAGCTATCAGTCTGGGGAGCAAGAGTTCCCCGATGTTCAGGTCAGCTGTTTCTGTGGGTTTCACCAGCCTGGTCTGGACCCCTTTGCTCTTCACTTGTCCTTCTCTAAATCTGGATTCTAGTTCAGTTCAGTGACTAGTTGTGGGTGTCTGCTTCCACTTCCACCAGCTGCTGGATGAGGGCTATTGGGTGGCATATAAGTCAGCCATCAATCTCATTATCAGGGGTAGGCATTTAAGGTAGCCTCTTCTCTGTTGCTTAGATTGTTAGCTGGTGTCATCTTTGTAGCTCTCCAGACATTTCCCTAGTGCCTGACTTCTCTGTAAACCTAAAATGTCTCCCTCTATTATGGTATCTCCATTCTTGTTTTCTTCTATTCATCCTCTGACTCAACATTTCTGCTCCCTCATGTCCTCTGCATCCCTCCTCTTCTCCCCTTCTCATTCTCCTAGCTCCCTCCCCCACATGGTTTTGATTTTTAAGGGATTTTTGTTATTATTTTTTCAAGACAGGGTTTCTCAGTAGCTATGGAGCCAGTCCTAGAACTCTCTCTGTAGACCAAGGCCTTGAACTTACAAAGATCCACCTGCTTCTGCCTCCCGAGTGCTGGGATGAAAGGCATGCACCACCACGGCCTGGCTGGTTTTGATTTTCTTAATGTAGTGTCCTGGGTTTTCTTATGTGAGTGGCTATGCTCTTTTCTTCTTGTACACAGGGTTTCTGAACGCTGGGTGGTCCTGGGCACCTGGGGAGACTAAAGTGACTCTCTGCTATAACACGAGTTCTAATAGGCCTTAATAATAAAAGCCTGGAGTCAGTGGAAATGGAACAATCAGAGAAGCAGAGCAGCCAGCCACTAGAGCTCTTACCTCTATGAAATCCTCAGACTGAAGAGAAGGCGAGGTCCTGTCTCATCCTGCCTCTCTCCGCCCACCCATCTCACTTCCTGTCTGTCTGTACAAACCCCCAGACCTCTATGGTTAGCTAGTGGCTAGCCCTGCCCTCTGCTCTTCAGGCGAGCTTTATTTGTTAGCGTGTAAACAAGACATCACCAGACTCTGCCCCTAGATGTGGCTTCCAGCATCCCAGAACAAGCATCGCTCCTCCCCATCTGCTCAGGATGCATGCATGGTCAAGGGCACCCTCTTGTCTTGCAGGTCATCTGTAGGAAGTGCTCAGAGTTCAAGGCTGAGAACAGTAAGCAGAGCCGGGTCTGCCGAGAGTGTTTCCTGGAAGAACCCTTGGTCCCTACAAGCCCTAGCTCTGAGACTCCCACGGAGCTCAAACAGAATGCAGAGGTGGGTGTCCCTGGTTCCTGGGACTAGGACGGATGCAGGGGGCATCTCAATGTGGTCCACAGGTCCGGAATCAGGGAAAGATGATTGGAGCATGTGCGTGTGTAAAGATGTCTCAGGATTAGTCAGGGCCAGGGTCTGGAAACCATTGCACCTAGGAGTTAGATGAAAATGCGTGTCAGCTCCACTCCCAGTCTGACTGGAGGTGCAGCATGAAATTGCCTCCAGATATGGGCACTGGGGTTCATGAAGCATCTCCTTTGCCTTAGGGCAGGTAGAACCCCTGGGGTGTGTGTGCGTGTGTGTGGGGTGTCAGTTCCTCCTCCATTACCACCTCTTCTTCCTGAGTGTGGCTGTTACTTTTCCAGCCTTCTTTCTTAAAGGACACAGTCCCTTTTATGGAGTAGCAGGACATCTCTGAAAAGTAAGCCTTTGTTTTCCAGGAAAAACACATTCTCCTTTGTCTCCACTTGATGCATGCAGTTGTGGTCCCCTGGGAGTTCTTTCAAATGTCAGTCTCCCTACCAAAGATGGTGTGGGATGGTCCAAGAGGGCTAGGGTCAGCAACATGCAAATCTTCTGACCCCCCTGGCTGGAGCCAAAGTGGCAAGAGCTTTGGCTGTCTAGGAAGTCAAGGACATGAGGCTGTTAAGGACTGAGGCTACGGTGGCCTTGATGGTGAGGCTCTGGCCCCACCTGCTGCTATGCCTTCACTCTGCACTCTCAATCTACAGATGCATTCTGGGAGTCCTGAGGATGTGGCCCAACGCCTTGGAGGGGCACTGAGTCTGACAAGAGGGGTCCGAGCAAGGGGTCAGGGGTCTTGTTTCCATGGTAGCACTAAAACATCAGAAGGGAAGCGACGTCTACAGGAGGTGTACCTGAGGTGTGTGTGCACACATGTGTGGCGTGGAAAGTGTGTGTATGTGGTGAGTGGGGGTTAATAGTGTGTGTGTGTGTGTGTGTGTGTGTGTGTGTGTGTGTGTGTGTGTGTGTGGGGGTGTGTGTGTGGGGGTGTGTGTGTGGGGGTGTGTG